TGTGTGTGTGTGTGTGTGTGTGTGGCCAGCTCAGCCCACCAGGGGGCGGGGCTGGCTGGCATGTGGTGCTGGGTGATTGAACCGCGGCCCCTGTGCTCTGCTAAGCTTGTTCTAAGTAGGTGCTTTAGACCACTGAGCCATCTCACCAGCCCCTCTGCCAAATAATTTTTAAAACAGCTTGGTGAACCACCTATGGTTTCAGACACCCATGAGTGATCCTGGAATATGTCCACTGTGGGGGAAACTACTGTTATCAGTCACTTGTATTTTTTCTGATTTGCTTATCCATGTACTCTGCTTATTTTTCTACTGAGTTTCATATTTTTTTTGTTTCACAGTTTTCTAATTGATCATTACAAGTATTTTCATAAGCTTAGATGCCTTTAGATATGGCTTCTGGAACATGGTTTGCTGTGTGTAGGTCCTACAGATTTTTATTTTTGTCTTTTGACACAGGGTCTCACTCTGTAGTTGAGGCTGGTCTTGAATTTACTATGGAGGCCAGGCTGGCCTCAAACTCTCAGTGATCCTCCTATTTCAGCCTCCCAAATGCTGGGATTTTAAATTTTAAACTGTGTAATCAAAAATACTCATCTTTCTTTTTCTAAGTTCTGGACCCTGTGCCAAATTTGGAAATGCTTTTAGTATGCTAAGAATGACAGCACATCCAATGGTGCTTTCTTTCTTTTTTTTTTTTTTAATTTTATTTGTTTGTTTATTTGTTTATTTATTTATTGTGTGTGTGTGTGTGTGGCCAGCTCAGCCCACTAGGGGGCGGGGCTGGCTTGCATGTGGTGCTGGGGGATTGAGCCTCAGTCCCTAGGTGCTTTAGACCACTGAGCCATCTCACCAGCCCCAAATGGTGCTCTCTTTCAGCAGTATTTTTTTTTTTTAATGAGCAGAATATATTTATTGAGAGAAAGAAAGCTCCTGTCTGAAAGAGGGACAAGGTCTGAAAGAGGGGGGGGGGGGGGGGGGGGGTCTGAGCGGGTAGTTCCCCCTCTTTACAGTAGTATTTTTATAGAATTTTTTTTAACAAATCACAGAATTCTGGAGGTTGAAGGAGGAGTATGGCCACACACAGCCACACCCACATGCTTTTTATCATTTAAATTTTCATCCATTTGGAATATATTTCTTTTTTTTTTTTTAATTTTATTTATTTATGTGTGAGTGTGTGTGTGTGTGTGTGTGGCCAGCTCAGTCCACCAGGGGGCGGGCTGGCTGGCATGTGGTGCTGGGGGATTGAACCGCGGTCCCTATGCTTTGCTAAGCTTGTTCTAAGTAGGTGCTTTAGACCACTGAGCCATCTCACCAGCCCCCATTTGGAATATATTTCAATGCTCAAAGTGAATTTCACTGGGCTGAGGAGATAGCTCAGAGGCATAAGCACTCGCCTGGCAAGTGTAAGGTCCTGAGTTCAGTTCTGAGTACCATAAAAAACAAACAAAAATGAATTTCATTATTTTTTCCTCAATTATTAGAAGGCTGCTCATCACCAGTCCATTCATCCTTTCAGTGCTGATGTAAAATACTGCCTATACAGTGACTCCCTATACATATCTGGGTTTCATACCGAATTCTATTACATTCTTTCTCCCTAGAAGAAATTTCTACTCAATTTCCATAGTAATTTAATCACTGTTAAGATTAAGTCCAAAATATACTCTAAAAGGCTGTGTTAAATGCTTCATTGCTAATGAGCTTTGGGAAGTGACTGGCTCTTGAAGGCTCTAATTTCTTCAGTGGGTTAATCCACAGACGAAGGGACTGCACTATGGGGGTTTGCTTTAGGGACTATATATATCTGGTCCCCCGGTCTTCCCTCTCTAGCTCACCCCCTTTCTTGCTGCTTCTCAGCTGCCATGAGGTAACCAGCTTTGCTCCACCAGTCCCTTTCTCTATAACACTGTCTCTCTTCAGGCCTACAGCAATGGTGCCAGCTGACCATGGACTGAAACCTCTGCAATAAGGAGACAAAATAAACCTTTCTTTGTTTAATTTTCTCATGAAAAGCTCACACAGTTATATATCTTGTCCTGCTGAAGAGGTAATTCTCATTATTACCTTTAACTTTTAGAATTTTTCAGGCTAGTCTCACTTATTTTTCCCAATGGAATTTTAAAATCGTTTTTGTCCAGTTTTTAAAAAATATGCCCCATGATTCTACCACTGTGATACCACTTTTTACATTTATTCCACCTACTGCATGCTTATTTCCCTATCTGTACATACAACATTATATTCTGCTTCCTCTAGTTTCCTAATTGTATTTATTTATTTACTTATTTGCGATGCCGGGGATTGAACGCAGGACCCTGCGCTTGCCAAGGCAAGCGCTTTTTCTACTAAGCTATCTCCCCAGCCCAGTTTCCTAATTTAAAAAAAAAAAAAAAAAGCATTCAATTATTTGGATGCAAGAACTATTGTATGGTTATTCTAGAACAAATAACAATCACATTCAGTACTGAAATTTACATGTTTCAGCTTTTGCCAATAATAATTTTTTTTTGCCAAAAGTCAGATTTCTTGAAAAGGGGAATCTATTTCTTTTGGCATTTGATGGCTCTTAAAAAAGACAGTGCAAATGAAGGCTCCACTTCCAGTTAAGCTTGTTATTCAATTTCTGGGGAGTCCTGTCTTATCACAACTACTTAGAAATGTTCCTTAAGTCCAAGGTGCTTTAAAACAATACAAATAATATTTTAAGGGGCGGGGGAGATAGCTCAGTAGAATAAGCGCTTGCCTGACAAGCACGAGGGCCTGAGTTCAATCCCCGGTTCCGCAAAAATAAATAAATAAGTAAATAAAAATAAAAATAATAGTAATAGTTATATTTTTAAAAAACAATATTTGGGTTGAGCTGTGCAACCACTCTCTCACTTTCACTTCGGTAAACTTCCAAGACAACTCCTATTTTCCCAGCTGAGTGGTGAAAAGAGCACGCGCGGCAGCAACGACACACGCGGGTCTGAGAACTTAGGACTCCTCGCCCAATGCGCTCTCACATTCACTAAAACTACAAATCTTCACTGTGAGGCGTTAAGAGCCTCGAGCCCAGGCTGAGGTCTGGGACCTCTGCTTATTTACGCGTCTTCAGTACACTTTACCACAGCGGATCTCGAATTCTTCAAAAAACCCAGAGGTCCCCAGGAGAGTTTGCCTAAGTCGTCATTAGACCCCAGACCCCCGACGCCCCAGCCGATCTATTACATAGTAGCCCTGCTCACCTGAGGCCCGGTGACCACCATCTTCACCTGACGTCTCCCAGCATCCTGCCGCCAGGTATCCAAGGCCGCTTAGCAACTGCCGTGGAACTCGGGCCACTCTGAGAAGGCGTGGCACCGGGCGAGGAGTTACCTCCGCAGCTACGTGATGACGACAGAACTGCAGCCGCCAATTGCCGCAGGTGTCCGGGACTTGTGGGTAGGAGGTGGGGCTAATATTGGACTGTGCCATTGTTATGGATGGGGGGGTGAAACTAAACACAGTGAGGACTGTTTTTCGGCAAAAAGAAGCCAACATTATTCTACTATTTAGAAGTGACTATCATTAGAAACTAACAACAGTGGTAGGTACTTAGAGTCCCCACTATGGGGGCGGAAAATAATGAAGGATCCCCCACGGCAGGCACGGAGTGAAACGCCCCAGCGTCGGTAGCACCCCCCCACCCCCGCGCAGGCGCAGAAGAAGGTCAGGCGAGGAAGACTGTTGGATAAAAATACTGAGTCTCCACGTTTGAGGATTGCTAGGGATACTAGCCTGGCACAGTAATTTCTGGCATTAAAAGACCGAGAAAGACTTTCCGTGTGGATAGGTGTATGGTAAGAATGGTAACCCAAGAGGTTCTTTCTCTTGTGTTACCCCACATATATTGGGGGCCAGGATGTCAGGGATATGAGGGTGACCTGCGGGCCTCTGTCTGCAGGGAGGAGTTAGGTCTTGGTCAACTTCTGCCAAAATGTACAAATATAATCGTCTTGAGAAGTTAAGAGGGCCCCCAGCTGGTCAGGAAAGCACCCTCAGTAGAAGGTTGCAGCAGCCTCAAGGCTCAAAGAATTGAATGCAGAGACATCTTAACAGTTTTGATTTACATTTATGTTTGCCTTCAACATGTACAGCGTGGTAGTTGAAGATACTGTAACGCACAGCTTGTCTTTTTACAACCACTGTAGCGGCAAATGGAAAAGATGAAGAGGATGATTGAAAGGAATTTTACCCCCAGTACTGAGCGTCAAACCCAAGGCTTTGGCTAGGCAGATACACTCAGTTACATCCTCAGATCAGAAAAATTGTCTTCTGAGGATGCTGCATTTTTGTGCAAAATTGGGTAACGGTAGGCTGCAGTTAGGAATAAAAACGGAAACGATCTAGAGTTGGGGCAGGGCTTGAGCTGCTTCTGCCTGTTGTTCACTCAGTGTTTGTTAGAAAACCAAAGGAGCACCTGCCTGGAGCGCTTCTCCCACTGAGGCTGTGGAAAAATGGGTTTTAGAGTCAGATGCCAGTAAGCTGAATTCCTGGCTGTGACTGGTACCAGCTGGATGATCTTGGAAAGTTTCTTAATCTTCCCCAGTGAATGTTTCCTATTTGTAAAATGAGGTTAATAATTTCTAAATGTGGGCTTGTAATAAGGATTGTAGGTAATATACCTAAAAGGTATAATGTACTCAGTAAACATAGGTGTAGCACGATCAATTTACTACCACAGTTTTTCTTCATTTTTTTATTTTGCTTTTTCAAAACAGCATCTCACTTTGTAGTGCAGGCTCAACTTGAGCTCACTTTCTGACCCCGGTTGGCTGCAAACTTACACTGATCCTCCTTCCTCGGTCTCCTGACTGCCAGGATGACAGGCGTGCACCACCATACCTAGATTCATTTTTATTTTCTATCCTGGTTAAAACAATGTGATTTCACAATCTTAAAATGGAACCATTATGTGTTTTACAACCCATAGCTGGTAGCATGCTTTTGGCCGTTCCATCATTTTTTCTCGCAATTATACAGTTGGTTTTTGCTTTGGGGAATTGTAAGAATTTTATCCACAGGTTCCATATGTGACAGTTCACAAGTGCTACTAGGAGGGAAATCAGAGTGTCTCTCATTGTTCTCAGCACATGTCAAAAGCTAACATTAGTTCTTCATGACCCATTTTTGATCTCCATTAAGTCATTGTCAACGGTTTTTTTTTCCCTGTGGTCTCCCAGTCTCATTCTTCTAAGTCCAGGGGTAAGGGGAAAGGGACCAAAAACTGAATTAAAGGAGTGGGACTAAGAGGAAAAGGGAATAAAATTGCGAGCACACACCATTTCTAAGGCAGTTCCTCTTCTAGTCTCCAAAAGAAACAGCTGATAAGGCTGTGCTGAAGAATGTACACTGGATCTGGGGAAAAACCAAAAGACTACTTTCCCACAGAAATAAAGCAGCATAATTCATCCCACAGGAGCAGAGCATCCTTAATTCATGAGGTGGTACAAGCTCACATTTTGTCCAGTCAGAATTGCATTTAGAAATGATTAAGCTTGAACACGTGAAGCTTAGTGGGTGGTCAGGAAGCTCTGGCCAGCACGTGGGCATTCCACATGAGGAGAGCACAGTGTTAACTGCAGTCAACTCCAGCTGTGAACCTGGGTCTACTTGGATGGTCTTCAAACCACTTCTCATTACCACTGGGTTGCACTGATGCTATTACTATATAAGGAACTCAATTTTGTGGGTACCATTACCACAGTTGCGACCTAAAAGAAAGCTCATGTCCCTTCTTTAGGTCAAAGTGTGGCACGAGTGCATCTGTGGACCACATGCCTGTCCCTAGCTCAGAGGAAGCTGAGAAAGTCAATATCTAACATTTTCAGCTACTCTTAAGTAGAGGACGTTATTGCCCCTCATCAAGACTCAAATAGGGGATTCTGTGAATACTGGAGGGGTTCAGATGCCAGACAGCCAAACCTAATAACAGATGTCCAGTGCCACCAACAGCAAAGACATCATCAACACAGAGCAGCAAAAGATGTTGGTAATACCCTATAGGTTTGTACATATCTGTCATTTCATACATTGAGATAAACATGCAAACACCAAGAGGTTCTCTGGTAAGGAGTGCTAGCTGCCTACAAGGTGGTTACTGAAACCATACCATGTTCCTGCCTTCTACAGCCTGAGCTTGACTTTCATAGATGTAAACTGAAGACTAACCAGCGTCCTCCCCTTCTCGCATAGCATCAGAACCACTCTGCTGTCAGGGGTGGTCATGTGCCTGGGCTCCACTCCAGCAAGGGGGTAGTTAGTGAGATGTCATTAAAGTCACTGGGTGAGGCTTCCAGGAGAGCTCTTCATTGGTGCCTTTTGCTACCTCTTCAGCCCTATTCCTCCTTTCCCCACTACCCAGAACACAAAAGTGCTAACTAGGTCACTGGCAGCTATGTTTTCATCATATAGCAACTCTAATATTGGAAGCCATTTTTCAAGAAGAACAGAACAGAAATACAGAACACCTCTGGATGTCTGACACCCTGTCCTACCATCCCCGGCCAAACTAACACTGCTTACTTTAGGAAATGGGGGGAAAAATACACCTGTTTCTTTTTAAGCCATCAAACTTACAACTTTGACTCTTTACCAGCTGGCTTCTGTGGCTTCACAGATGCTTCTGTGCTAACAGTCCAAGATGTCATTGTCCTCCTGCGCATAGGAAAATCCCAGGAATGCACTTGAAGCACCACAGCTGCTGGCCACAGTATCAGGAGTGCAGCTGATGGACTTGGACACAGCTTCCTGGGTGAAGGCGGGGTCGAAGTGTTTCAGGTCAGCAGGTCCTGCCTGTCAACATAAGCCAGTGATGAGAATGGAGCACTAGGGTCATTGCTGTCAAAGGAGTGCAAAGCTGTAGAGATGGATGTTGGGTTATCTCTGTGATGCATGCCTCCTGGCCATCCCCACTGAACTATCACTTCCCCATGCATTTACTTTAGTCCTTCTCTCTTATGATGCCATGTGGTTGAGTGCTCTAACATCCTGGCTCCCTGCCTGCCCCACGCCAACCCTTGGCCAGCGTATACTTCCTGACTGCTTACCAGGCACCGGGGATGCAGAACAAAACAGGACGAGTCACTGCTTTCAAGGAGCTCACATTTATGCACATGGTGGTCAGACTGAAAATCTCACATATTCAAGTGGACAATTTAGCGTACTGATAGGTCCCAGATCAGTGGTGGTGAACCTATGGCATGCATGCTGCAGTGGGCTGTATGACTGAGAGCTCTACAAGGTTCACTCTCACTGCCCAGATGAAGAAAATCAAATAGGTGTGACTGTTCTGGTTTGTCAGTGTCATTGGATTAAGAAGCACCTAAATCTAAGCACACTCCTGAGTGTGTCTGGGTAGGTCACACAGGGAAGACTTTGGTACTTCGTATGGTCCCTAGCCAATTCCTCGCCAGCATTATTCCTTTGTTTTGGTTCGCAGCTGCTAAGAACTTAGCATTTCTGCTCCCTCCACCAGGAGGTTTCTGCCTTGGAGCCTCCATGCATGTACTGAATCTCCTGAAACCATGAGCTTCCATAAATTAAACCTTTCCTCCTCTATGTTGTGGGTGTTGGGCATTGTGTCTCTAGATGGTAGAGAGGCTGGTGCTGCTCCAGCTGCTTTGGAGGAAGGCCTGTGTGGGAGACTGAAAAAGTGATAACAGATTCATCTCATCCAGAGGTGGAGTCTCTCCATCTTTTTTTTTTTTTTTGTCCTACCAGGAATTGAACTCGGGACCTTGCAGTTGCCAGGCAGGTGCTTGTGCCGCTGAGCTATATCCCTAGCCCTCTCCATCTTTTAATATGGGTTAGCTGTGTGACGTAAGTAGGCCAGAGGGAAACTGACAAATGGGATTCAAGCTAGGCCAGTACGGTATCACCAACACACAGCCCCAACCGAAGTAGAGGCTTGAAAAATGCACAGTGGAAGTTGTCTCTCTTGCTGTGCTTGGAACCCTGAGGTCACCTGGTGGACAAGTCCACACCAACCTGCTGGGGGGTGAGTGGCTTCAGGAAGGAGAATGGTGGTGACCTGGCTGCCTGCCAACTCCCAGACTTGGGAGTGAAGCAGTTCTAGATCATCAGCTGCCAGCTGCTCTGCTACTGACAACAGACAACAGAGAGCTCTGTAGAAAACGTCTGGCAGAGCCAGAGCACAAGGTCCTGAGTTCAATCCCTGGTACCCCCCCCCAAAAAAAAAAAAGAAAACAGGGGGCCTGTGTATAGGAAAGGAAACCACAACATGCAAAAAGACAGCCTACAGAAAGGGGAAAATTGGGCTGGGAAAACAGCTCAGTGATATAGGATATAGCTCAGCGGCATAAGCACCTGCCTGGCAAGCGCCAGGTCCTGGGTTTGATCCCTAGTACAAAAAACAAAACAAAAAAAAGGGGCCGGGGAGATGGCTCAGTAGGATAAGTGCTTGACTGGCAAATGCAAGGATCTGAGTTCAATCCCCGGTTCTGAAAAGAAAAAAAAGAAAAAAAAATGCCACATATTGGGCTGGTGAGATGGCTCAGTGGTCTAAAGCACCTACTTAGAACAAGTTGAGCAAAGTACAGGGACCACGGTTCAATCCCCAGCACCACATGCCAGCTGGCCCCGCCCCTTGGTGGGCTGAGCTGGCCACACACACACACACACAAATAAATAAAAATTGAAAAAAAAAAAAAGAACAAAAAAAAGACTTCTAGAATGGGGAAAATTTTTTTGCTAGCTCCTCTCCTCAGACAATATGTAACATGTAGAATATATAAGGAACTCAAAAAAATTAGAACCACCCAAATTTAAAGACCTAATCCAAGAACAGCCATCTGAAATGAATAGATACTTCTGAGATGAAGAAATAAAAATTGCCAATAGATACATGAAAAAAGGTCAACACTATTGGCCATTTACGAAATACAAAGTAAAAACAACACATTGCATCTCACTCCTGAAAGAATGGCTTCCATCAGTGAATCAGATAGCTGAGTATGGTGGTACATTCCTGTAATCCCAGTACTTGGGAAGCTGAGGCGGGAGGATCATTGCAAGTTTGAGACCAGCCTGGGCTAGAAGGTGAACTCAAGGCCAGCCTGACCTACATAGTGAAACCCTGTCTCAAAAAAA